CCCTAACGTTCACCTCTACTGCCACTCCAACCCCCAATTCTGCTGCGATCATCACCGGCACCTCCCCTCAGAAAACAACCTCAAACTCTGCTGCTACCATGACCCCTAACTCCTCTGATGCCTCGACCCCCAGCTCCACTGACACCTCAACCACGAGCTCTGAAATCACCTCGACTCCCATCTCCGCAGACACCTCAATCCACACATCTACAGAGACCTCGACCTCCAGCTCCGCAGCCACCTCGCGCCCCACCTCTGCATCCACCTCGACCTTCATCTCCACTGAAACCTCGACCCCTAGCTCCTCAGCGACCTCCACCTCCAGCCCCAAAGCCACCTCGGCCTCCAGCTCCACAACCACCCCAACATTCAGCTCCACATCCACCCCAAACCTCAGTTCCACTGAAACCTTGACTCCCTCGACTCCCATCTCTGCAGACACCTCAATCCACAGCTCTACAGAGACCTCTACCTCCAGCTCCACAGCCATCTCGACCCCTAGCTCCACAGCCATCTCGACCCCTAGCTCCACAGCCATCTCGACCCCTAGCTCCACAGCCATCTCGACCCCTAGCTCCACAGCCATCTCGACCCCTAGCTCCACAGCCATCTCGACCCCTAGCTCCATAACCACCTCCACCTCCAGCTTCACAGACACCTCGGCCTCCCTGGCTACTCAGATGGAAAGCTGTGGCTATATCTCTTCCCCGTCTTTTCTTTTCCTCCTCCAGCTCCACAGCCACCTCGACCCCCATCTCCACAGCTACCACAGCCCAGAGCTCCACCGCCACCTTGAACCCCAGCTCATCCACCCCGAACCTCAGTTCCACTGAAACCTCAACCCCAAGCTCCACTGACACCTCAATACCCAGCTCCACATTCTCCCCAAACCTCAGTTCCACAGCCACTCCGACCCCAAGCTCCACAGCCATCTCGACCCCCAGCTCCACTGACACCTCAACCCTCAGCTCCACATCGACCCCAAACCTGAGTTCCACTGACACCGCAACACCCAGCTCCAAAGCCACCTCGACCCGAAGCTCCACTGACATCCCGACCCCCAGCTCCACAGCCACCCCAACCGGCAGCTTCACATCTACCCCAATCTCCAGTTCCACAGCCACCTCGATCCCCAGCTCCATAGACACCTTGAGCACTATATCTACAACCTCCTCAACCCCCAGCTTTACAGCCACCTCAACTCCGAACTTTACAACCACCTCCACAGCAACCTCGACATCCATCTCTGCAGGGACCTCGACCTCCAGCTCCACAGACACATCTGTTGCTAGCTCCACAGCCACCTCAACCGCCAGCTCTGAAATCACCTCGACTCCCATCTCCGCAGACACCTCAATCCACACATCTACAGAGACCTCGACCTCCAGCTCCACAGCCACCTTGCGCCCCACCTCTGCATCCACCTCGACCCCCAGCTCCACAGCCATCTCGACCCCTAGCTCCATAACCACCTCCACCTCCAGCTTCACTGACACCTCGACCCCCAGCTCCACAGCCACATCTGTCCTCGACCCCTAGCTCCGCAGACACCTCCACCTCCAGTTCCAAAGCCACCTCGGCTTCCAGCTCCACGACCACCCCAGCACTCAGCTCCACATCCACCTCGACCCTCAGTTCCACTGAAACCTCGACCCCAAGCTCCACAGCCATCTCGACCCCTAGCTCCGCAGACACCTCCACCTCCAGTTCCAAAGCCACCTCGGCTTCCAGCTCCACGACCACCCCAGCACTCAGCTCCACATCCACCTCGACCCTCAGTTCCACTGAAACCTCGACCCCAAGCTCCACAGCCATCTCGACCCCTAGCTCCGCAGACACCTCCACCTCCAGTTCCAAAGCCACCTCGGCTTCCAGCTCCACGACCACCCCAGCACTCAGCTCCACATCCACCTCGACCCCCAGCTCCACAGCCACCCCGACCGCCAGCTCCACAGCCACCCCGACCGCCAGCTCCACAGCCACCCCGACCGCCAGCTCCACAGCCACCCCGACCGCCAGCTCCACAGCCACCCCGACCGCCAGCTCCACAGCCACCCCGACCGCCAGCTCCACAGCCACCCCGACCGCCAGCTCCACAGCCACCCCGACCGCCAGCTCCACAGCCACCCCGACCGCCAGCTCCACAGCCACCCCGACCGCCAGCTCCACAGCCACCCCGACCGCCAGCTCCACAGCCACCCCGACCGCCAGCTCCACAGCCACCCCGACCGCCAGCTCCACAGCCACCCCGACCGCCAGCTCCACAGCCACCCCGACCGCCAGCTCCACAGCCACCCCGACCGCCAGCTCCACAGCCACCCCGACCGCCAGCTCCACAGCCACCCCGACCGCCAGCTCCACAGCCACCCCGACCGCCAGCTCCACAGCCACCCCGACCGCCAGCTCCACAGCCACCCCGACCGCCAGCTCCACAGCCACCCCGACCGCCAGCTCCACAGCCACCCCGACCGCCAGCTCCACAGCCACCCCGACCGCCAGCTCCACAGCCACCCCGACCGCCAGCTCCACAGCCACCCCGACCGCCAGCTCCACAGCCACCCCGACCGCCAGCTCCACAGCCACCCCGACCGCCAGCTCCACAGCCACCCCGACCGCCAGCTCCACAGCCACCCCGACCGCCAGCTCCACAGCCACCCCGACCGCCAGCTCCACAGCCACCCCGACCGCCAGCTCCACAGCCACCCCGACCGCCAGCTCCACAGCCACCCCGACCGCCAGCTCCACAGCCACCCCGACCGCCAGCTCCACAGCCACCCCGACCGCCAGCTCCACAGCCACCCCGACCGCCAGCTCCACAGCCACCCCGACCGCCAGCTCCACAGCCACCCCGACCGCCAGCTCCACAGCCACCCCGACCGCCAGCTCCACAGCCACCCCGACCGCCAGCTCCACAGCCACCCCGACCGCCAGCTCCACAGCCACCCCGACCGCCAGCTCCACAGCCACCCCGACCGCCAGCTCCACAGCCACCCCGACCGCCAGCTCCACAGCCACCCCGACCGCCAGCTCCACAGCCACCCCGACCGCCAGCTCCACAGCCACCCCGACCGCCAGCTCCACAGCCACCCCGACCGCCAGCTCCACAGCCACCCCGACCGCCAGCTCCACAGCCACCCCGACCGCCAGCTCCACAGCCACCCCGACCGCCAGCTCCACAGCCACCCCGACCGCCAGCTCCACAGCCACCCCGACCGCCAGCTCCACAGCCACCCCGACCGCCAGCTCCACAGCCACCCCGACCGCCAGCTCCACAGCCACCCCGACCGCCAGCTCCACAGCCACCCCGACCGCCAGCTCCACAGCCACCCCGACCGCCAGCTCCACAGCCACCCCGACCGCCAGCTCCACAGCCACCCCGACCGCCAGCTCCACAGCCACCCCGACCGCCAGCTCCACAGCCACCCCGACCGCCAGCTCCACAGCCACCCCGACCGCCAGCTCCACAGCCACCCCGACCGCCAGCTCCACAGCCACCCCGACCGCCAGCTCCACAGCCACCCCGACCGCCAGCTCCACAGCCACCCCGACCGCCAGCTCCACAGCCACCCCGACCGCCAGCTCCACAGCCACCCCGACCGCCAGCTCCACAGCCACCCCGACCGCCAGCTCCACAGCCACCCCGACCGCCAGCTCCACAGCCACCCCGACCGCCAGCTCCACAGCCACCCCGACCGCCAGCTCCACAGCCACCCCGACCGCCAGCTCCACAGCCACCCCGACCGCCAGCTCCACAGCCACCCCGACCGCCAGCTCCACAGCCACCCCGACCGCCAGCTCCACAGCCACCCCGACCGCCAGCTCCACAGCCACCCCGACCGCCAGCTCCACAGCCACCCCGACCGCCAGCTCCACAGCCACCCCGACCGCCAGCTCCACAGCCACCCCGACCGCCAGCTCCACAGCCACCCCGACCGCCAGCTCCACAGCCACCCCGACCGCCAGCTCCACAGCCACCCCGACCGCCAGCTCCACAGCCACCCCGACCGCCAGCTCCACAGCCACCCCGACCGCCAGCTCCACAGCCACCCCGACCGCCAGCTCCACAGCCACCCCGACCGCCAGCTCCACAGCCACCCCGACCGCCAGCTCCACAGCCACCCCGACCGCCAGCTCCACAGCCACCCCGACCGCCAGCTCCACAGCCACCCCGACCGCCAGCTCCACAGCCACCCCGACCGCCAGCTCCACAGCCATCTCGACCCCCAGCTCTGAAATCCCCTCGACTCCCATCTCCGCAGACCCCTCCACCTCCAGTTCCAAAGCCACCTCGGCTTCCAGCTCCACGACCACCCCACCACTCAGCTCCACATCCACCTCGACCCTCAGTTCCACTGAAACCTCGACCCCAAGCTCCACAGCCATCTCGACCCCTAGCTCCGCAGACACCTCCACCTCCAGTTCCAAAGCCACCTCGGCCTCCAGCTCTGCTGAAACCTTGACTCCCAGCTCCACATCCAGCTTGACCCCCAGCTCTGCTGAAACCTCGACCCCAAGCTCCACAGCCACCTCGACCCCCAGCTCTGGTGAAACCTCAACCTCCAACTCCACAGCCACCTCCGTCACCAGCTCCGCCACCGCCTTGGTGCCCAACTCCACTGAAACCTCAGCCTCCAGCTCCGCTTCCAGGACGACTGGCTCTGCTACGATCTCTCCACCGTCTACCCCAACATCCACTCACTCCGGGGCTGCTGCTTCTTCTGGCTCCCCTGCCGTCACCCCCAGCCCTGGCGGCGTCAGCTCTGTCAGCTCCTCTAGCACCCCCACCTCCTCTGCTACCACCCTGGGTACGTTTATGTTGCATTTGTGGCTCCGGGTGGCACCCAGAAGCCCCCCTACGCCCGCTGCTGCACATCCCATATGGTGGCGCCAACCCTGCCCAACCCCCCACCAAAGCCACTCATAGCACTGCCCCAGGTTTGTAGGTTAGGGGGGCATTGGAGGCCTCCACAGGGACACTGGTGGAGGAGCACAAATGGTGCACAGGAGAGGGCTTGTGGTGAGAGGAAACTTCCCCTCCAGCTGTGCCTAGATAGGCACCGAGCCGCTTTCATGTAAAGTTCTCCTCCATAATCAGACCTTGCTGGGAACAGGCGACAGGGGAAGGGTCACTGGATGTTCCCTGTTCTGTTCCCTCCCTCTGGGGCACCTGGCATTGGACACTGCGGGCCGACAGGACCCTGAGCTAGATGGATCTTTGGTCTGACCCCGCATGTTCTTACCATCTGAGGTCTTCTTTTCTCCACTAGTTTCCATCGCGACTCGAGGAGAGACGACGTCTGGCCAGCCTGCGTCTGGACCGGCCACCTCTCCCAGTCGCCTTCGGGGGCCGGTGGGACCGCCTCATCGCTTGGGTCTTCTCCTGTCACCTCCCACACCACTGGTGAGCTGATCGGCTTGCTAAGTAGCAGGACCAGTTAGAGCAGCGGTTCCCAAACATTCTGGCATCACGCCCCCTTTTTTATTTTTGAGACACCCTCACGCTCCTGTGGAACGCCATGCTCCTGCAAAGCTCCTAACTTCCATGGGAGCTGGCGCGTGTCCCTCCCAGCCCCTGACTCTCAAGTCTGAGCAACCTGGCCTCTCCAAGGGCTCTAAAATCTGCCCACCAGCCCCACCGGCTTGAAATATTCTGGGCCTCCCCCAGGCCTTGACCAGGACGCATGTGTAACCCACACACCTCGTGTGGGTCACTGTCCCATGCAGTGGCACTTAGACCACGTACAACAAGCGGTACGAATAAGGGAGCTGGACAGCCTAAGCAGCGAGCCAGCTGGCTTTATAACTCACACGGTAGCGGCTCCTCCTCCAAAGTTCCCAGGTTCAAATCCGCCCAGTGGCTGTTACACATAGTCCGAATGTGAGGCCCTTGCCGCAAGGGATCCTGGTCCTAGGGTGTCTGGGAAGTCGCTGTGGCTTATGCAGGCTGGAAAAGGGGGTCTAATGCTGGGATGAGGCGAAGGCCAGTAGTCCCGTAGACAGGGGCCCTGTAGCCTCATATGCGGGCTCCCTCTGCGCCTCCACTGGGGCTGGCTGTGCTCCCACTGCAGGGCAGGACTGTAAAAGTGGTCCCCTGATGCTTTCACACTGGCTTAACCCTTCCTCCTCTCCCTGATCTTGTCCTCTGCAGCGGCTCTGGAGGGCAGTACCTTCCCCTACTGGGCCATCATCCTCATCTGTCTGGGTGCACTGAGCTTGCTGTCCTTCTCCTGCCTGGTAAGAATCCTGGGGCATAGAGGGGTGGCAGCTGGCTCCTCTCCCCTTAGGTGCTAAAAGGCTGCAGTAGTAGGTTGTTATCCCTCTGTGCAGGCTGCTGCTAGACGGCAATAGGGCACCAGCTTTGGTGGTGTGTGTAAGACATACTACCCTGGGTAGGGGGTCTGGCAGTTGCCACCAGACTGCTAGTTTCTCGTCCCAACTCTGGCAGAGGCAGGGGATCTGGGGGTGGGGGGGAGAGAGCAGGACTTCTAGGGTCTATCGGTGGGGGGGAGGGGAGGACGGGGCTCTTGAGTTCTCTGGCCTGTTTCTGGAGGGCTGTGATATTTAGTGGTTAGAGGAGGAAAGGTGGGAAGTCAGGACTCCTGGATCCTTTCCCCAGTTCTGGGAGGAGGAATGGGGTCTAGTGGTTAAAGCAACAGGTACGGGAAGGACTGCTAG